GGCATGTAGCACTCTCCTCCACGCCTCTCCTGGCAAGCAGGACCCTGAGCCACTAACCCATGCTCTTCCACCACCGCAAGACCCCACTTGGGAACTAACAGCAGTCAAAATTGGCTGGCTGCTCAGCTGACACAGCCCATGGCTTTGCAGCACTTGCAGGGAAGCCTACTGGCTCTCCAGTTCTGGTTCCAGTTGAGTGAGGAGAAAGGGTTGAGCTCTGTGAGTAGATCTGCTCCCCGCATTTCACCCCTGCTGAGAAAGGAGTCCAGCCAACACCCAGCACAGTCCTTCTCCCGTAACAGAGAGCTGAGGACTTGGTACCAGCATGAGGGCAAGCAAGTCTCAGCAGGACTATCTAAAGCACTGCTCTCTTGTCTTCCTCCTGTTCCTTCTTTGTCAGTCCGCATCCCAGTGTAGGAGCTCGGGGCTGCCTGGCGAGTCCGCGGTGTCCTCTCCGCCTCCCGCAGTCGCTGGCTAGGTCTGCGCCTCGGCCTCGCCGGGGGCTCACAGCCAGTGGAGCAATCTCCCTCCTTGAAAGCCCAGACCCTGAAGAACTTCCTCCCTCAATGTTTGCCAGAGACACTGTTTGCCAAGCCTCAGCTGCGCTACGATGTATTTATTTAACCAGCCTTTAGTCTCGTGGGGTAAACCCTGCAAGTTTCTTCCAGTGAGTGCCTTACTTTTGTTCTAATATTCCTTTAAGCAGTTGTACCACGGCGCTGGCACATATGGGGACTGTGTAGCTATGAAGAAATCAGAAAGCAGATCCCCATGATAAATGACTCTGTGCATTTGGAGTGTCAGTGACAAAGTAGAAATTAATCTCCATAGTTCCAAGTTCCCTGCCGTGTGCAGGCAGCTCTCTCAAAATGAGAATACCTGTTGGCACACAGCAGACTTCAGTAATGTGACCGCACAACTTTTTCATCTCAGTTAGTCTGGAAAGAGGCACTAACGAAATACAAAAATCCTGACCTGTCCTAAGATGGGTGTTCAAGGCCTTTCCACTGGATAAGGCATTTGTTGTGGGGCTATTAGCACCCCAAAGTGCTGCAAGGGACATTTGAGTCACTTTGGTTTGATGTATGCTGTAGGTATTTTTTGGTTATGTGCAATTTGTTCTGTTACATTCAGGGTATTGGCTATTCTGTGGAGCAGCTGTGCTGACTAATGGATCACAGCACTTCTGTGCCATATAGTTATTGCACAGAAAAGCTTCTCTGTCTCTCTCATCCTTCAGGAGTCCAACAGTTGCTGTCCTTGGGTTTGGAATAAGAAGGGGCAGGAGTATGCCTGGCAGCAACAAAAACCATTAATTCAAAAAGCTATGAAGAGAGTTTTGTTTTTCCTCTTCTCTGTACTGGTGTTAATAGCTTTGCAAAGCAGAGAAGTTCACCCAATGACTTCTTGGCTACTTCCCCAGATGGCGTCTTCAAAGCTGACTTGACAGCAGAAAAGACGCCTTTCAAAAGACTCACCAGACTCATTGTCAGAACACCCCAGAAAGTGCTTTCACGTGGAAGTCCCCTGGTCTATATACCCCACCAGAG